GCGGCGGCGGTGGTGGTGGTGGTCACAGCCTGGTCCTACTACCTCCAACTTTCCCAACAAGCAAACGGTCAGTAGGCACGTCGCTGTGTCTAAGCCTGTACAGCTGGAACCCTGCCCGGCCGCCCGGTACGCGTTGCTCAACTCACGGCTGCGAAGCGCCATGGCCGCATGTAGTAAGTGTTTGCTCTAGAGACTGGCTAGTTACAAGAGCACTGCTGTCCCAAACGGGGAAAAACCAGGGCTATTTGGCATCTTGCTGCCCATTGCTATGCAGCAAAACACTTGAGATGTGCTTCAAACAGGCAACTGGAAGCGACAATTGTCAGAGAGCTGAGACTGAGAATTGTATCAGCATTGAGGCCAGATTGCACACAAATCTACATGCCAGCATTCTCCAAAAGGGCCGGGGGGCGTCCTCGCCATCAAGCACCAAACTCTTTGGAGTGCCCTCAGCGCACATAGCTGACATAGCTCTTTCCCATGCTGAGACCGCCGCTGCTCTGAGTTCCCAGCTGGAGCTGGAGCAGCTGACGGCCGCAAAAGAGGGCTGCCTTCGAAGACTACACAGGCCCCCGAATCCCTGACTATGTCAATTGGCAGCGCTGGAACAAGTTTGAAGTGCTGTTTTGCCTGCCGTCGTCGCATGTGCGAGCGTGCGCGTCCGCTTCGCGGACCAGGGTGACACGGCATGCCTTCCTGTAGCTGAAGCACTATGATGCCTGTCACCTTATCCCCGCAAATCAGAAAGCCTCAGGTGACCAAGTTTGGCATATGACCGGTAGCATAACAGAAAGGAGCTGAGCTAGCAAGAGACGCTCTCGCATATCCGGGAGCTTGTCCCCGCTGCCATCTGAGCAGCCTTGCACTCGCAACAGCCTCTACCGGTGATGGGTCACCAGTTGAGGATGCCTTCAAAGATGACCCGGCATCGCGCTATCATTAGCCAGTGGTGACCTCTCGGTGAATTGATGTCTTGACAGCTGAAGTACTTGGCTTGCCGCGCATGCCACAAAGGACTGGAGAAAAGATCATTTCCAGGTCTTCTAAGCTTGGCATGAGACGCACTAGAGTACATGGTCAAGCATAGCCTCGTGTGCAAAACGGGTAATTCAGCAACCATGATGGGAACCAAAGATAGGCGCTCGCCAGCGAGATGGGCCAAGGGAAGACCGCGTGAATCTGGAAAAGCCACCGGTGACAGCAAAGCCTTTAGCTTCAGGTGGTGTCATGCAACGCGGGCTTGCGACAATCTCTTTAGCAGCCTCAGCCGGCAAGACCTGCATCGAGCTGCAGCAGTGGTCCATGACTGTGAAGGTAGAAACGCTAAATCACCAGGTTGGCCTGGTTGGGTCATCCTCCTCCGGTTCATCAAGCTCTTCCATGAGCCTCTTCAAGGGTTTGAACCTCGCAAACGGAGACTTGATGCCAGATCAGATAGGGAATGCATGAATGGAGTGCAGGCCAGCTGCAATCTCTTCTTCGTCAAAGGCTTTTCCGGCTCCAACATGCCTGCAGTCAAAGCTGAAGCTTTCCAAGCAAATCCACTGTCCTGCAGGCAATTTGCGGCCAACTATGGCCAACTCCAACAACGTCCTGTTCGCTGCTGACATCATGTAATTTGACCTTTTCAAATGAATCAGCCCGATTCTGTGCAGCCGGGTGACGCTTCACGTCTCGAAATTGATCCTCTACGAGGGAGCATAGTTTCTGGACTTGCAATCCCAGGCGGGTCATATCGAACATGATAGCCTCAAAACGAAGCCCAACCGAAATTCCAAGCGGCATGCTGCGCTGCACACATGACTGGGCGGAACATCAGGTCCATTGACTGCGGGTCTGGCAACAGCTGAGCGCAAAGACACAAGTGTTTGCCAAGCGGCGAAGATGTCAATGCTTTTGGCATGGCCTTTAAGCTTCATGGTGCCTTGAACAAACTCCTCCACTGTGATATCACCACCTTGCCCACAGCAGAACGGCAACGTGTATACATGGCAACACCATGCCATAGTAGGAAAAGCAGCCACCACTAGGCAATCATTGAACTCAGGCAAGTGCTGTTGTTGGTATCCATCAGAGTGAAGATGGTGCCTGCAACGGCATGGATATCATCTGTGGCGCTACAGGTGGCAGATCACTCTGAACTGCCTGCATCATCGGCTCCAATGTCCAGGCCAGCAAAGTACGCCGCAACCCAAGGGTTCTGCTTCAAACACATGGAGAAGGCCTGGCAGCAACTGATCTTCAGAACTTGAAAGCCAAAGTCACAAAGCCAAATAAGCTGTAGGCCTCGAGTGTCAACCTGCCAGAGTCGCCAACATCTGCTGAGTGAAAGATGCCTGGGCTCAATCGGGCTGAGGAAACCGAGGTGGATGTCAGGATGCTGCTTCTCATACCAGGCTGCGCTGGACTTCGTCAGATGTTCTTTGTAGGTCTTCACGGTATGAATCCACAACCTGACAGTCACCAGTCTAGCTTCATCTTGGCATGATGCCCGGGACGTACATTCACAAGTAATATAACTGCAGTGACTCGGGATCAAATACTTACCATCTGATTGATTTTTTGTCAGTATTGTCAGCCTTGTTGCTACTCCTACTGCCAGTCTGGTCCACATTCAGATTATTGCTATCTTGTTGCCTGAAGTATCCGCGCCAGGAATTGTGCACTTTGTCCGTACTTGTGATCCTGTTACCACTATTAGTAATGCTACTGTAGAGGGCCCTTCTGCTGCTCAAGCTACAGTTTCGTACCTTTCTGATAATCTTGTTGTTCCCGCTGCCATCTCTTCGTACTCATTCGCTGTAAACTTTTTAAATGACGACACCATTCGGGCTATGATCAATCAATGCCTCTCCTCTTGTGGCTGTGGCTGTTGATCAACACGGCCTACGCTTAGAACGAACTCGACTGTCATCCTGAGCATGGTGCGCTAGGGCAGAAGCAGCAATCATGCACGTACTTAAACACCATGGCAATGGACATGGTCAACGCAAATGAAATGCCCTGTATGGATATCTTGGGGAACTTCCAACCATGGAAGCACATCATGCCAAGTTCTAGCAACAGGGCACCTCGTCTTCAGTTCGGGTTGTGACGGCACTGTCCACGAAAATACCAGTGACCACGTTCAACAGGCCAACCATGCCTGCATCCGTTGGCGAATGATGACCGCCCCCAACTAGGCTCAAAGGAGTTGAGTTTGTAATGTAAGTGCACTGCAGAAGCCGATGTAGAAGAGAAACATTCCAAAGTACCTTGGAGGTCACTGCATGCAGTGCGCGGTGCTTGGACTCATGGAGGTGTTAAGCCAGTGAGCAAACACGCATGGTGTGTGATCTTACATGTCTGGGAATGTCATCCGGCTTTCTCCCACCAGCTTCCAGCCAAAGGCGCAATTCACCGTAACCATCAGATCCGAGCATCCGTAAGACCGGTCGAAAAACCGCCCAGTCCTCAGCAGGAGGTGTGTAACTCTGGACGGAGAAGCAACTCTAAAATTGAACCTTTCCAAGGCCTCCCTTAAGCACTTAACCCTGCCCACATTGGTCGCTCTGCTGTTTGTGGCTATTGGCTGCCAGGTTACCGCACCGCCAAAGATCGCACTCAACAACGTTACCTGAGCCGCCCCAATGCACCAAACAGCATCTCACCTTCCTGGCAAGAACTCACATCAGACTTCCGGGAATGAAATGAAGCCATGTCGCGAAAGACTCGTATATGCTACCAAATGTAGTGTAGACTTCAATAGCCTGATCAGTCCACAGATGCCAAGAAAATTCCATGGGAGCTGCACTTGAACAATGGAGCTGGCTGAAAGCACCACAAGGCCCCAGCATTGTTCATGTCATCTTCACTAGCCGGGTTCACCGACTCGAAAAATGCTACAGCAGCGTTGCCAAAGATGATGCTAAAGACAAACCTCAGCCGCGCAAGGCCACTGCCCTATCAGACTATCATGCACGAGCAATTTGCACTTGTGATACCTGCTGCAGAAACCCAGATGCTGCTGTAGCGGCATAATGAAGCAAATCATCACAAAAGCCTTAGGCAAACACCATTGCCGGAACTTGACATGCGCAGCATGCGCAAATATGGTGCGCCACACGTCGGCCAACGAGGCGCCCAAATCAAGGATCCCATTGAACTGATCATTGCAAACAGCATTGTCCTCAGGCCAGCAGCACAGCATGTGATGATTTGAACCAGCTTGTCAAGCACGAGAAGTGGACAATGGACACAGTGACAACCCCCCCGCCTCAATGATCGAAGCCACTTGACCGTTCGTACGAGTCCTAGGCAGATGTCCGAGGTGTGAGGGCTGAATCATCCACGCAGACAATTTTTTGCAGAGGCCCACGTCTTAATGGCCTTGTAGAGCTGGTAGTATCACTGCAATACAAACTGATATCTCATACCAGTATAAACCCACTGTTGATCTCAAGCTGCTCTTGGCAAGCCCTACTAGAAAGCGAAGCATAGCTCAGGCTGAAGCTTACACACTTGGCAAAAAAGGTTTTGTCTATAGTCCCAAGGCGCACGATGGCCAAGTTGGGATTGAGGGAAAAAGACTCTCATCAACATGACAAGATCATATTGTGATCATATTCTTTATCATCACCGCAATAATCATGATTGTTGCTGTCATTGTAACCGTCACAATGATACAGTAACCTGCACAGCTGAGCTGGCAATCTAGGCGGCAACAGAAACATCCTATATCTAAGCATGCGCAGCTGTAGTCAGAACTGCAGAACGCTTCGTCACCAAGCTGGTCTGGCAATAAGCGCCCAGCGTACGACACGGACAAGTCGAAAGACGCGGCAAATTCTCAGGAAGGACATGTTCGCGAACAGGTCCTCACAAGAAAAGACACAGAGATCGCAGTGGCCAATGACACTACACCTACTTCAAAAGCATCAACACGCGCTTTGCCAGCAAGGTCTGTTCAACAGTATAAATGCCAACTACAAGCACCAGCGACATTGCAGCCGAAAAGCGGGAATCAGAATCTCCATCGCCGCGTTGCCGATTAAGAAAAGGTCAAACATGTTCCAATACCAATTTTTGCCTGTGCCGCCATTCGATGCCAATCACTGATTGAATTGACACTGAAATCTCAAACAGCACTGGAACTCCCTGCCTATGAAGAAACTTCCCCGGTAAGCAACCAAGTACAGGATAACTTCGGCGCTGAACCAAACGAAGAATGCATACTCCTGAGAGATCGCGACTCTTCCATGCAGCAGGATGCCAATGATCGATTGATGACTTCATGTTGAAGCACTCGTTTACAAATCTCTGGGGTGTGAGCTTGTACAGGGCCACCTTAGTCCTAGCCACATAACTGCACCACTGGCAAAGCCCCAGCTCTGATTTGACTCAAAAGTGAGTTGCATCCGGACGCGCTGCAGGCCAGCCCATGGAGCCAAGTGACTCTCTCCCAAAAACAACTTTGAACTATTGCAGTTCAAAGTTAGCTTGCTCTCAACTTGCCGGTATCTGTCCACTATGGCCACTTGAAGGGTTGTGTCACGATCAAGGATAACACCGCACATCTTGCAGGCAAGCAGCCAACGTGTTGGACAGTGGAAGTGTCTCGAAGCCACTTATTCGTTGGTAACCGTTCTTGAGTTGCCTGCAGTTTCCACACCCTGCAGTAAGCAAAACCGCCACACAGAAATCCTTCCTCTAGCAGGGCTCAGACCTGCGAGAGGGGTCCAAACTTCTAATTCACAACAGCCTAACATCGAAGTCATGGCATGACAGCTTAGCAAGAAGGCGAGTTGCACATCAGTGCGGATGCCAATGTAGACCGCATTGGCAGCAATGGCTAGGGTGCTTACCTTGACAGCAGCTCTAGATTTGTCCTAGACAAGTCGTTGGGTAAACAGAGTTGCTCAACAAACAGCAAATCGCAGGTCTCTCTTGGGGAGCTGCCGATTTGGATATCCAGCCAGCTTTGCTGAATATGTCCAACCAAACGCATTCCAAGACAGCCTGCTTAGCTGCCATGGCGCTGTTTTGAAGAGGACACTGTTGACAATGACCTCGGAGTATCTGCTCTCATCATAGTGCTCCTCCTTGGCTGTAAAATGGGCTCAACTCGCCTATCGCCAAAGCCAAGTAGCGGTCTCCCCTAGGAATCCGCACTTCATCAGCCCTTCCTCTAAGTGCATGTCAAGCATCTAGTGAGCCGCAGAGTGAGAGAGTTTGCTTCCACTCGCTTTTGTGGAAGAAGGCATCATCGGCGAGCCTCGTGTCGGTGATGAGCTGCAGACGGTGCGACACCTGGCAGAGGTTGCACTGCACTCTGCACCAGGAGTTTGCGCAGGTAAGCAAAGGTCAGGCCGGCCAGCGTATCAAAACGCATACTCTTGGCGTCCACGTACTCTGGGTCGCTTTCACGATTGGACTCCTCATGACTTGTAGCCATGAACGGGTACTCTACAGGCACGCTAGCGACAGCCTCCCCTCCCTCCTTCACATAGGTGTTTTTAAAACAAAGAGTGCGCTGCTCACCCAGATCACAAGGAGACGATAGTTGCATCCTCGTCCACATCTCGAAAGGTTTGGAAGGACGTCATTCGCGAAGGCGCGACGCCTATGGCACGAAGACTGTCGCCGCCAGGACTGCCTCGAATCAGAATGATCAGAATGGAGAGCTGGGTTTTGATGGTTTTGAGCTTTGCTTTGGAAATATACATCATGAGCCCGAATCTGCGTAGCCGCATGCCTATGGCAATTTTCGCACATCCTAGTTGAAACCCTTCTGGGCTAAAGCCTGAATGCCTCTGGCAGTGGTTGCAGGTTCCTGGTTGCAGGTCGTCCAGAAGACAAAGCAATACTCCCGGGGGTACGAAGTGCAACCGCAATTGGTTTTCCGAGACTGCCTGTCTAAGTAATTATGGGATTGCAAAATGGAACGTTGCATCGCAAGATCAAAATGCAGCCTTCAGGAAGCCATGGATGTGGAGACGCGGGCTCCACCGGTGTGACTTTGGGAAGCACGCCGGGCCTCAAACATCATTGATCCGTAGACTACGGGAGCGACACATGACATGGACGATTGACACTGAGCCAGCTAGATCAATTTGACGACTGTCAGAGTTCTGCAGCTTGGTGCCTTAAAACCACATGAATGCTGCGAGTGGAAATAAGCTTGAGATCTCCGAGTACAAATTATGTGTAACCACGAATACTTTGTGACAGCCAGTAATGTGTTGAGTCCTCTCAAGCACAGGCAGAAGCACTTGGCATGCAGTGGCATGGGAGTGAAGAGAGCTGACTTAAGGATCTTGTCTTGAATAGCGCCCGTGCGCCCTGGGAGAATGGATGGCCTCGGTATGCTGATTTCTATCTATGAGCATCCAGCAAATGGCGCAACAAGGCTGGCCTTGCCCGATCATGCATCTTCTTGGCATCTACAATTTGGGCCTCCACCGCTGTGAAATACAAAGCCACTGTTGGACCTTGCCGTCCATTCGGTCTATGACTGGAGCCCTGTCTCAATTTGTTCAGGATAACAACTCCTCAAGTGCTATGTCTTCCAGCGGTTGTTGCACAAGAGGCACGTCACAGAAGTCCAGCTGTGCTCCCCATTGACGCATGAAGTTGGGGTCACCGTCACGTAGGTGCACTGCTTGCCCTTGCAGCGTTCGCACGTGTACATATCTGTGATCTGCTCCTCCGGTGCCTTGACTGCGGATTGCTGCAAGGCTTGCTGTCGCAGCTCTGCTCGCGAAGCTGCTTTAGAGTCGCTGGCCATCTCCTCACTGCCCATTCGTGGAAGTTCGGATGGGTCCAGAACTCCGTCAAGCAACTTCTGCCGAAAGGCAGTGTTGCTTGCATCTTTCAGGTTGTATAGGATGGTGCGCGACTGGTTGGTGTAAGCCTTGTCAGAGCCAAGTTGCAGGTGAAGTGCTCCCTCAATAGCCTCTGCCAATGCTTCTGACTTGGGGGCACTCACATCTCGAGCTGCGAGAGCAGCGCGCAGCATCTGCAACACCTTCTCCCTTTGCACAGACTTGCCAGCAGCACCGGCCTCCGCTTTTTCTTCTGTCTGTTTCGCCTGCTTCAAGACTGTCGTTTGTTCAGGGTCTGGGCACTTTCGCTTCCGATGCATCTCCTTCCAGTCTGCCAGCAAAGCCTTTGCTGCCTTTCGGACTCGTTCTTCGGCGCCTGCATCCTTGCTGAGATGGTTCACAGCCACTCCTATCTTCGTGTCCTGCAGCACCTTTGTAGGAAGTGCTCCGAACCCACGAAGCTTGTCCAAAGCATTGCACACAACACTTGCCGAGCCGGACCTGTCCTCCAACACTTGCTTCCACTGGTTCACACAATGTGTCAGATCACTTGCATCACTCATTAGCAGGAAGTTCAGCCCATTAGCATCTCACAGATCATCAGGACGGCATTGGTCAGTCTTCGCCACCAAGACAATAGCAGCTAACATCCGGGCTCCTGCTTATTCCGAATCATGCACCCTGCACCCTTTAATATGTCAAGGAGCGAAGCCATGTCAGTATGCCTATCGGAAAGCCTTGAGATGTGTGAGCCTTGCGCCGATTGAAAATGTCAAATGGCTGCCGACACAAGCTCCAACTCTGCAGGCAATCGCAATCAAGTGCAAGTCACTCGCAAGTCAATACAGCACAACAGCTGCTCAATCTGAGTATGGCTGCTGCCTTCCTTGAACAGCCGGTTTAACGCTCAGAGCTCTGAGGCATCGACAGAGGCAGCTCGTCATCGCCTCAGCTTTGAGAGCAGCAACAGTGTCAGCTTTGCAGCGTCAAAAAAATCAATTGAACAAGAAGCGTGGATCGGCAGTAGCTCTTCGTGTCAAGTGGCTTTCAGGTCTTAAGAAGACGTCTTTTGGAGGAGGCAGGACAACGGCCTGCAAAGTCAAGCTGGTTTCTTGTCCTAACAACTGAATGCACACAGGTTCGTAAACTAGATGTCCCTTTACGCTTCAACCAGAACGCGCTTGCTTAGCAAATTTTGTGCTAGAATCTGCTTGAGGCAGGCGATCTTTGTTTGAGGCGCATTCAACACGCATTGCCCATGCCTCCGCAACTTCGGGAGTAGCCACCGCACAGGTGGAGGCCTCTGCGATAACATGAACTACAGCGCCAAAGATGAAGACAGAATGAAGGGATGGCGACTCACTAATCCTTTGGCATTCTGATCAGGCTCGGCTTCCCAGCCTCTAAATCCTGTGGCCTCTGAGGGAGAGCCTGCTCAATATCGGAGAGCTTCAGACGCCTGCTGCAAAGCAGAAATTCTAAGCAACTGCATTTCAGGCTGAGACATTCTTACTGACAGCAGCAAGCTATTTTAGTGCCGAGCTACATGGAGGCGTTCTCCATCTCCAGCGACTGGTTGAGGGCATGCAACTGCTTGCAGTGGCACCTGTGTTACGATGATTTTCCTTGCAAATCCAGCACGGATACAGACCCTGCAAGCCGTTGTACATTCTCACAAGAAATGCAGCTGGGGCACGACAGTTCCTCTAACCGGTTGCTGAGAGCATCCTTTCACACAACACTTTACCCGCCTGCTCTGCTTGCAGTTCCGCTTGCACATCCTTGCAATTCTGGAATAAATTATTGACATGTCAGACAGGTCACCAGACAGTTGCCGAGCACGCTGGGCAGCGGCATGACTGAGCACGGCAACCGGACTGGAGAGACCCGAAATTATCCTGGAACAGCGCTGTTAGGGTACTGCCACATTGGCAACAACAGCAAATGCAGTATCAGCTGGACCTTGGCTAACAGAAGCAGTGCAAACCCAGAAAGTCAAACGAACAGCCCCAGGTAAAAGCAAACTTTACAACTTGGTACGCATGCTTCAGACCCTGCAAAACTACGTCATTCCTGCACTGAGCCGAAAGGAGACGTTGGGCATGATCAACGCTCGACGGTGCTCTGCGAGAACATGCTTGCCGCCAGACTTTCTCTGCATACAAGGCCAAGATGGCTCGGGGTGGCCTGGTTTCGGCTGCAATGATTGCAGCAGCTCCTCCACATCCTGGTCCCTGGAATCGGATTTGAAAACGCCAGGCCAAAGGTCCCGGTTGCCAGCCTGCTGGAGTCAACTCCGGGGCCATCTTCAATCAGCCGCATAAGATCATCAATGGTCGAATCCTGCAAAGCAATATGTGAATAGTTGTTGGTATGAATGTACCCCCAATCTACCCCAACACACGCCAGTCAACCCCACGAAGGACCCATAATTGTAAGAGACACATAGAAATTCCCTGTCCTCATCTTGGGCTGCCACCGAGCCTGCTGCAGCCTGCGCCACGTCCTGCTGGATATTGAGGGTTGAAGCTGGCCTATGGGGATCAAAAAGAGAATAAATGTGTATATATGCATATGTGCATTATCCAATATTACCTTCATGAAAGAATGACCTCTTCGCGAAAATCCAAAGTTCCTTTCGCGCAAACCATTGCGAGCTTTCGCGGAAGCATGTCACCATCGCAATCTTTCGCGGAAGGCCTTCTGAGCCATCTGTGGTCGTTTTATATATCAAGTTCCGCATGGAGTTTTCGGACGCTGCCCATATACATACACACATGTGATACACGTGCATATGTCATCTGCAGGTTATCCCAAGGTGGACCCCACCATTAGGGAGGGCATGCTGGGAACCCCTCGGTTCTAGCCATAACCATTCATCCAGCAGCAGACTGGCCCCGATGCACGTCTTCCACGCCTGTGCTGACGAGCTGCTGCTGGCAGCCCCTGCGGCAACATTTCAAGGGAAGTGGAATACCCATTAATGGAGAATCAATTGGAAAAGAGAATCAAAATTGAATTCAAGTGGAAACTACTTTTTTTTGGTGGGGCCTCTTCTCCTCAGGTTTAGGGATTAGGGTTTAGGGATAGTAGATCCAATAATGGAAAATCAAATGGAAAAATGAAACGGCAACTGGGATCATATAGGGGTTGATAGGGATTTAGGGTTGCTAAAAACTAGTGTCCCAAGGAAAGCAAGCTGCCAAGAAGCACAAGGGTAGGCCTCTAGGCAGAAGCCGCAAGATGTCCATTGTTGCTGCTACATCTGGGGGTTTCCCAAAATTAGGGGTACCTTAGTAGGGGTTCACATAATAAGGACTATAATATTTTGGGGTCTATACTTTGGGGTCCCCTCATTTTGGGAAACTACCACATCTGACAACTTTGAGAACAGGCGCCGGGTAAAAAGATGTCTGACGAAAGAAGTTTGTTACAAAGCAGAGCCTTGCAGTATTGCTTGGGTGCATAAGTCTGCTCAGGTTCCCTTGCATTGCAAGGCCAATATAACCTGCACAAAGTGCCATGCTTAGTTCATGTGAAAGCAGGCTGATGTTTAATACGCAGCGCTGATGAAGTCACATTGGGACATGCAATCTTGCAGAATCATCAAGTCTGGTCAGGTGACTGAAACAGGGTGTCGAACCAAACGCGATGGCGAGCATGCTCCAGCACAATGCCTACCCTGAAAGCCCATGATACCACCACAACTGCATGTTAACATGTGGCGTGGACTCACTTTCTGCCGCAACTTTGGCGCAGGCAACTCTACAACCTGCCACTTTGTGCAGGTTCTACGAGGATTGTCAGAGCGCGAGACATGAAATGAAGCAGGCATCCAAAGCTCAATCCTCCCAAATATTGTGCGTTGATGCCACAAGCGACACCACTGCAAGGCTGTGACATGCTGTGACCCTCTGTGTGCTCCCTTAGCTGCTTAGCTCCTGCGCAGGCGGAGCAGGCGGACCAGGGCTAACCTGAGCAAAACACATCGAAGAATGCTCCCGAAAAGGGAGTCGCTTTTTGCTCAGCATCGAGCTTGGATCTTGTCAAAGCCAGTGCGGCTCAGATGCTCGGCTTCTTTCTCAGCGTAACTGGCAGCCATGTCTTCCTCCCTGAATCTGGCCTTTTCTTCGACGGTCTTCTCAAGAAAGAACTGTGGTATTCACTGAGGCGAGCTTAGCGAGTCAGCAAGATGGTTCACTTTGCCGCGCCGGGCCATGTCTTGGATGCTTGCTTGAAGGCGGCTTGCAACTCTAAACATACTTGGAAAATCTTGGAAACGGAGTAGGTTGCAGCTTGCCTCCCATCATCTCAGCTTGGAGCTTCTTGGCATCCAGGTTGCAGATGGAAGAAAATCGTTCTTCCGAAAGGTTTCTTTTGTTCACACTTTGCTTCGTTTAAGAAAAAGAAAGGAGGAAAGGGCCAGAACGCAAATTCGACACGCCCGTCTTCTCTACCCTTGCCTCTTTGTGCTGTTCCTATGTTCTTCTCCCAAGGCTTTTCTCAAAGGTTCTGTGAAGCAAGGAGCAAGGAGCGGAGCCGAGCGCTCGAGCCGCGGAGGGCCGCCATGCGGGAGACACACGTGTATAGCCTCCAAACCATTCTGAGCCCAACTTGCAAGCCTTCATTCACATGACATCTGGATTCGAGCCTGTCACAACCTACTAGTTTAGATAAAGAGCTTCTGTCGGAGGGGGCGTCTCTGTTTAAGCTTTTGCTGGTCCGTCACGCCTACTTGAGGGGTCTGGAAACTGCAGGTCTGGAGCTGGGTCAAGCTCAGCGTTGACCCGTCGTCATCCCAACCCAACCATTCGGCTTGCCCAAGCTAACGAACAGCAGCAAATTTGAGATCCTGCTACCCTCTCTTCCAGGCCCCGCGACCCTCCGGCTGTCAGACCGTTTGTCTTCCAGATGAGCCGAGTCCCACATGCATGTGAGCATAAGGCAACGGCTTTCCAAGCTTGGGCCGCAGCATTGCCGTGCGGTGAGATGCCGGATGAAAGGCCCATGACACCCACCTGAGCCGCCAGAGTTTGAGTGAGACTAGAAAGTCGCTCTGCCACTGAACCCGAAGCCGGACAGCAGCACCGCGCATGACGAACACGTGAGAGTGCTAAGGCGATGGCTCCCAACTCCAACGTGATTAAGATTATGATCATCCTGCACAAGCTCTACTAGACTTGATGCAGCAAACAGGACGCATTCAAGTTTGTGGAGCCCATCCTTTCGAGGCGAACAGAGTAAAGATGCCTCGCAAAGGTCACATCTTGCTCATTCTTGCTCGCGTGCTGACATGACAGGAACGCCCAAAGAAGACAAACACAAGCCAGCCGATCCAATCCGCAATGCTGCCTCACGTGTTCGCTCAAACCGTGCAAGTGGTCCAGCGAATAGCTCAACCGCTCCTGAAAGCAGCGTCAGCTATGTTACGTGTCTACATGGCCTTCTGCACCTTTCGACTAAACCTACTGCTGGCCAGGCTGCATTTAGAAGATCTGTGCGGCGCTTCACATCGAAATGCCTGACGACCTCGGCTGCTTGCAATCCTTGACATGCGCAGCAAATGCCTCCGCCTTCCTGACGCCAACTCTACAATGCCATGCTGACCGTGGGCAAGCAGGCTTCGAGGCAGGCTAGGAAGAATAAAGACGAAGAATTGAGCAAATGCTGCACTGTTCCCAGAAAGCCCACCTGGTCGTGAAGGCGCTCTTCATTGTGATTGTCCCACAGAAGGTCCTAATCGCTGCATCTTCCAGAGATATCAATAGTTGAGCGCAAACACAAGTCACACCCCCATCCACAGAGATGTCAGCCAAGGTTCTGGAGAGTCAAGAAAACGTCCTTCCGCATTCAGCTCGTACCTCATGGTGTGGATGATGTCCTCATACCTGTCCAGGTTGCACTGGCCAATTAGCTACCCAATTCGACTAGCACAGCCAAGGCACTTGAAGAGGCGATTTGAGATGTCCTTCAAGCTCCTGCATGCTGCTCAGCAATTACATCGCCACAAGTCGCCAGGTGTGCCCGGAAGCTGCATCCCTACCCGAATGCATCCCAAGAAGTCCCAAACCATCTTGGATGTAGCGACCCTTCAAGCCAAGCAACACGGAGACCGCAAACTGCTTTTCCAGTCCGTCCATCTCTGCCTGTAGAGCCTTAGCATCTCTAACTTCCACCTAGAGCTGAAGCCAAAGCTGAGAGGTTGGAATGCTTGAAACAAGCGCTGGCCTTCCAGTCCTCCTTGATCTTGTTCTCGATGTACGTCTCCAGGGCATCCAGGCCTTTGCTTGCATACTACAGAACCCGATTAGAACCATCAGCTCGCTTTATGCCGGATGTCACATTCCGTGGCTTGATGGGGCTCACACACCAGTAAGGCAGGGGTGGTCAGGTGGTCAGGTGATCATACAAAGCATGCTGATTTCAAGCGGGCGGTTCCTGCTGAATCCACGAAACACACAACAAACCTTCTGAGTCTCTGAGTGTGATCACAGTACTCCCAAATTCTGGACACCCCCAACATCATCACCATCAGGATCGGAGCGGCGAACGGCCACGTCCATGCCCAAGGAGATGGCAATCTGCTCGAGATTCCCCTGCAAGGCCGGCACAGCTCATGACATATTGGATCAGATTTTGGGATGCTGGTTTTGATAGACCTACTCAAAGCCGCTCCCTCAGCTCATGGATAATGACTGTCATCAAAATTTCCTCGTGCTCGTGAAAACTCTGATAAGCGTGAAATCCGGATATTGACAGCGCTTGCTACTTCCCATTTGTCTCTTACTTATCAAAGGCTCCGGCATTCTGAGAAGCCTTAAGGTGTAGCTGTCCAGTGTTTTTGTCCAGTCGCGTCTCTCCACCTTAGGCAACACATCTGGGCTTGGATTGCCTTGCGCTCAGAAACCCGGCACAGGCTGCGGGAGGCTGAGAGCTGCCTCCGAGCCACCTGGGTCATCTGGGTGCTCGTACACGAAATCCATGCTCTCGGAAGCCAAGGGCTCGCTTTCCTGCGAGCACAAGGGAGGCAAACAAGCTTAGGGTTCAGGGCACACCACTGGCATGCTCAGCTCAAATGTTTCCAGCCTCCGCTTTTGATTTGTGACCCTGCAGCACAACTTCCACGACACCTCCAAGGATTCAGAGCTGTGCTGTCAAGCCGGAGCTCTCAGCGCGCACAGTTTCCAAGCAAGGGCCTATTGCTGTTGGCCCACGTCGCGTCGCTGGACAGTCAGCAGCAAGCGTTAGCATTTGCTGCCTTCAATGTCATGCAAGTGGCTTTTCCACAGGCAAGTCCTCGTTACGCGAAAGGCAACGCTTCGAACAAATGATGCTGGTACCCGAGCAATTTCGTAGCTCATCGCTGTCTCTCGTTGTTTGTTCAGCGTTCTACTTCGTACACTGGCGCCACCAATCAGCAGAACTTCTTCCAAACTGACTTTCGAGGTATGAGTTCATTTTTGCTGACAAGCACATGCGACGAGACTGGTGCTGAGAAGGTGCTCCATCTCTCTTGTTGCATCCCAAAGAATGATGCCTCCATGCTGCAACACCTGACTTCATATCCGGAATGGAAGGGCCCGCTCAGATTTGCTACACACACGGCTCCGAATGCCAACAAGAGACCACTGCAAAGCCAGCTTCTTTCTTCGAATCACAGACAAGCACCTCGAGCCAGGTTTGGAAAGTAATTGCCGCGGAAACAGCTGGCGACAATTGTCCGCAGAAAAATAATTGCCAGCAATGAATCGCCAAACCATGGAGGCTCACACGGGCTCACACGCCGTAGACAAAAAGGTATTGAGAAATGACACCGGTAGCTACTTCCGCCGGGGTTAACAGGCACCACTCAATGAGAATAGACATCATTTACTGCGGACGCTGGCAGTGGGAAGATTTCACATCAGCGGGATATTTAC